TCAAACGAATACCAAAATATTTAAAATTTCAAATATTTTTCAGGTGAAAAATTATATTAATCAAGCACATTTAATTAACAATTTCGAGTAAAACAAGTTATAGGTAATTCAATTTTCAAATATGAGTGGGCGCGGTCCGATTTGGTCTGGTTCCATAGGGAACCAAACCGAACCGAATACCAATGAAAATTTTAGAAATAGAACCATTGGTGCCACAGTTAGCTATGAAACCGAACCGGAACCGAACCAATCGGTTTCGATTCGGTCCAATTTGGTTCTTTACATTGAAAATGTCTAAATAAAATGTTTACTAATAAAAAAATCTAAAGATGCTACCAACGTGATATTTTTAACAAAATATAGAAGAACCGAATATACTATTCAACGATTAAAAGAAAATTAAGTATACAAATTTAAAAACAATATCCAAATAATATAAGTTACTATCACTAAGCAATCATCAACTTATATAAATTGCATAGTACTCCAATGATTAAACAAACTTCCATCAAAATCAAAAATCCTATATTGAATTAGATATCCTTTAAAAATTTATTGCAACTTCTAGTTTTATTGGTTATAATTTGTAGAAATTTAGATGAAAAGTTTCGATCAGATCAATTATTAAGTAATCAAAGTGAAAACAAAATAAAAATTTTGCATCTTAGAAATGAAATTTTATATTGTAAATAAATTTATTTAGGTATAGATTTATCCAATATTATAATTTGGCTTGAGAATTAATTAAACAAAGAATTATAAGAGGGAATGAAAGAATTAAAGAGAAAAAGGAAAGTGTTGGAGTCTAAAATTAAGAAGGAACCCGATCATTTTTATAAAAGTGTTGGAGATTGAGTCATATATTTTACCAAAAATAAAAAATCCTATGAGAACCGTCTGGTTCCTAACGGTTCCCATACTAGAACCGGGAGCCGGATCAAAACCGATCAGTTCTTAATAATTTGTCTCGAAATCAAATTGTTTTTTATAAAATTTGAAATCGAACCTACTGGTTCTAAACGGTTCCGATTCAGTTTCGAAAAATAATGCCCACTCCTATTTTTCAGGAATTCGTTTTCTTTCATCCAAATTCCATCCTTCAAATCAAATGGACTCTCAGTAAATTTGCCTATGTTGATAAATTGAAGGAGAGGACATAGAAACACAAATTTTTATTATGCTAAAATAATTTTTATTAATTTTGACTTAGACTATAGAAAGTCGATATTTGGGACCCACCGACTTACAAAGCCCACAGATTTATTATTATTATTATTATTATTATTATTATTATTATTATTATTATTATTATTATTATTGGGTTAATTTCACAAACGGTCACTGAACTTACAGAAAAATTACAAAATGATCACTGAAGTTTAAAATTTTCAGTAACTGTCACTTAAGTATTGGGACGCTTTCAAAAATGATCACTAAAATTTAAAAAATTTTGAGCTACTTTTGCGGCAATTTTTCGACCACTTCCAACCACCGATACCACCAGATTTTGATACTGTTGGAAAGCCTACAATGTTATTTTCAATTACAACAAAAAATCTCCCCCAAACTCCAAAGGATTCAGCCAGAATAAACCCACAAAGTTGGCTATACAAAAAGGCAAAAATCTGCCCAAATTTTCAAAATTTTGGTGGACTTTTACGGCGATTTTTTGACAACTTCCGACCACCAAAGTAGCCAAATTTTGATACCGTTGGAAAGTTCACAATGTCCTCTTTAATTAGCATCCAAAATCTCCCCAAAACTCCAAAATATTCGGCCGGAATAAACTCACAAAGTTTGCATCCCAGATTTTCATCTTTTTGGGATGCCGACTTTGCGGGTTTATTTTGGCTGAATTCTTTAGAGTTTGGGAGAGATTTTGGATGGCAATTGAAGAGGACATTGTGAGCTTTCCAACGGTATCAAAATTTGACGGTCTTGGTGGTCAAAAGTCGCTGGAAAATTGCTGTAAAAGTTGCCCAAAAATCTAAAAATCTGGGCAGATTTTCAGATTTTTTGGGGCGACTATTGTGGTGATTTTCCAGTCGAGTTCCTTGGTGTTACGGAGAGATTTTGAGTGGTAATTGAAGAGGACGTTATGGACTTTCCAACGGTATCAAAATTCGATGGTATCAGTGGTTGGAAGTAACCGAAAAATTGCCGCAAATGTAACCAAAAATACTAAAAAAGTGTTTTTCAACTTCAGTGACTGTTTCAGAAACTTTTTAAACTTCAGTGACCATTTTTGAAAGTGTCACAATACTTAAATGACCGTTACTGAAAGTTTTAAATTTCAGTGACCGTTTTGTAATTTTTCTGTAAGTTCAGTGACCGTTTGTGAAATTAACCCTATTATTATTATTATTATTATTATTATTATTATTATTATTATTATTATTATTATTATTTTGTAAATTTAATTCAAGTGAAGTTAACTTGAAATTATATCTCAAAATCAACTACAATAACAGACAAAAAATTTGTGTGCTAAGGCATAACTCCATATTTTTAGATTCTGTTTGTCTCCCATTATGGAAAAGAAATTATAGAGTTTTGAATTTTATTTTTTGAAAAATGTGTGGTTTAAATATAATTTTTTTATTGATTTGTGTGTAAAATATTTTATTATGTGAATATATAATTAAAAAAAAATTATTGTAGCAAATAATTTAATTTGTTAAAGAATATCAAACATGCTAATAATATCAAAAGGAGGAACGCACGTTAATCACGGTTTGACCCATATTTTCCAATTCCAATTCGTGAGCTAAATTAATAAATAATCGCCACAGGTGCCTCACCCCCACCGGTCCACCCCATTGCCAACAAAGAACTCAAACATAACACAACCTCAAAATCAAACACTCTCTCGGCACGATGCCGTTTTCACTCTCAGGCGACGGAAATTCACATGGAACTCTCCGATGAGAAGTCATCGAATGCCAAGGTTTGGGGCATATTCAAGCTTCCATTCCGAATCCAACACTCCATTACGACATCGTCTTCTTCTGGTTTTACTCATCATAATCAGCAGCAACAGAGTTACGATAATCATAATAATATTAGTGATAATTCACAGGTGGAAGGCTAAAGGCTCATGGTTCCAGCTCAGTTTCTTCTATTACCAGATCTCTGCTCCTAGGGACGGAGCCATGAATTTAAGTTATGGGAGACAAAAATTTAATGTACAAAATACCTACTTTGTGCTTACATAGTTTGTTGCCGACAATGTGAACGGATAATTAGATGAATTGTTAAACTTGTTTCGATACTTTAAAACAAACTAATCAAATGCATACTTAGTGCTTACATAGTTTTTTGTCGACAATGTGAACGGGTAATTAGATGAATTGTTAAATTTGTTTCGATACGTTAAAAACAAACTAGTCAAATGTCTCTAAACAAATTTGAACAGAAAATTCATTAAAAACTAAAGGTTTGCAACAATTAAAAATCATAAATGTAATGTATAAAACCATAAACATAACATAATTAAAAAATCATAACATAACCAAGTATAAAATAAGAAACTGATTTTACAAATTGTGGTGGGTTGGTTAATGGTTGGTGGGCCAGTGAACTAAAATTAAAATATTTCAATATTTTTTTTTTGACTTTTACTGGACATGGGCTTGGGCATTACTGGGCTACAACCCAATAGTGCCATCCCTTCCCTCCGTCTCTGTCTGCTTCCCTCACGATGTCGTCTTAAGCTCAATCCTTCTAGCAAGCTCTACTTTCCTTGTAACACCTCTTTCTTCTTCGTCTGTTATTTTATGAAAATTCATCTTTAATTGTTTTTATTGTACATGTAGGTATTCGATATACACTATACTTAGGCCGTCCAGTGCTGCCCCAAAAACTGTACCATTTTGCACTAAATCTTGTATCAAATTAAAATTTATTTCCAATGCTAAAACTTATACCAAATGAAGAGTTTTAATCATTTTCTTTTCATTTTTTATTCTTAATAATTTATTTATTTAAAAATATATTTATTTATTTACTTTACAAATACATAAATTACTAAATAAATAATTATGTTAAATTAAAAAAAATTACATTCATTAGTAAAATTAAAAAACATAGTACAATTAGTAAAAACACTATAAAAATGAAAATATTAAATCAAATAATAATAATAATAGTAGTAGTAGTAGTAGTAATTTATTATTATTGTATTAAAAAAATATATAATGATACAAATACCCTTCATCAGTTATTTGGCAAATGGGAAAAGGGCAAATTTGTCTTTGCACATTTGGTACAAGATGGTGCACAAACTTCAGTGTCAAGCTTTTGCACCACCAAAATTTGGTATTTTGGCCTAGTATTGGAGATGCCCCATTAAAATCAAATTTGTTTGACAAAACGGTTTATTTACTTGAATTAATCTTGGTTTGTGTATGCTGTTGACAAGGACAGGTTCAATTTATATGCTTTCCGTATGAGCTACACACGGATGAGTATAAATATATTTGCTATTGCCATTGGTTAATGGCTAAATGTTTTGAAGAGTTTTTTAGTGACAAGTGCTACAAAGAGAGAATTTTTACTGGGGATGATATTGAGTAGATCTAAAATGCTATAAAGAACTCGGCATAAACTTTTTTAATCAGTGTGAATGCCATATAAACAATGTAAAGAGCCTTTTTACGAACCATTGCTATGAAAATTGGCCCTAAAGTGAAGTTCTAATGGTAACGAATGGCTGATCCCACCGACCAGAGGTTACAGATGCACCATTGAGAACGATGATTTGTCAAGGAAATTAAAAGCATTTGACATTATTCTTTTGATATTTACTATCAGGCTTCTAACATCATTTATCTCAATAGGGTCTATTGTTTTGTTCCAGTTAATTTTTCAGGCAATCTATTCTCAATTATTCTCTCCCTCCCCTCCCTAGATTGATTTTTATGTTTTTTGGAGTAAGTTTACATCCTGTCACTATTAACATCCTCATTTGCTAAATATTTCCTTGGAAAATCCCTCTGTTTATGCGAATAAATTTCTGGTCTTGTTTTATTGTTTCCAGATGAACCTACTTTCTCGTTGTTTCTTGTATCTGATTAGTCTAGTTTACTGATGTTGCTTCAGTTCCAAACACAGCACCAAAAAGCTGTTTAATGCAACCTCCTGGGGGTAGTTCTCGCTCCTGGCAAGAGTATTATAGCAACTGGTAATATTTATGTGTTGATTTCTGCACTTCCCTTTCTTTCACAATAATTTAGGGCGCTTAAGGATGCGTTTGTGTATTTCTTATTTCTTGCTCTGGTCCTGGTGTTGGATGAATCTACTAGTATTCAAGTTTGTAAAGCCTCCAGAGAACAATGAAAAGCCAACAGATCAGAAAGGCAAAGTGAAGTTTAAAATCATGAGCCTAAAGATGAATGGACCGATGGACTACATAGCAGAACTGGGTTGTCACTTTCTTCTCCTGATAGCTTTATTTCTGTGCACCTATCTTGAAAATAATTTTGTGCTGCTGGCTATGTGCTCATACTCTTTTAGTTTGTGCTTCAATTGTAATAATTATGTTTATTGGTCTTGTTAATATAGTGACTGCATATATTATTGAAAATAATTGCATTATCAAGGCTCTGGGAAATGTGATTTGTCTAAGAAAGTCTCTTTGAACTTTCTCCTGATTGTTTCTAATCATTTCATGTTGTCTTGGAACAGTTTGATGAGCAGAAGGATGAAGTGGCTGTGGAACAGATACTTCGGGTTGTATTTCTAGATGTGGAACGTCCTAGCCCATTAAGTAACGATTCTAGACAGTGGTTCCTACAACATATACTGCATTTGCTGAACTGCTTTGAAGCTTCATCTTTTGCATGCATTTTTACATTGAAAATGTTGATTTGTGAGATTATCTGCCTGCTGAATCTTTGAAGGCTCTAGAAAAACTGAAGCGGCAGTTGGCTGAAGCTGAGGCTGAATTGGAGGCTCGCAAGAAGCCTCTAGAAGACGCCATTTATTGGTAAAGGACGTGTCATTTATGAATGGGTATGATATCTTTTGATACTTTAGAAACTTTTCTCTTGTAAGATTTTCATTCTCTTCTCTGTTTAGTATTTATTCCTGTCTTTCTTTTCCAAATTCTGTTTTTCAGAAAGAAAAAAGAGAAAGATATCTAGCACGTCAACAAGTTGAAGGGACAGACTCTGTATGACTGTAGGTTTGTTGTTCTCCTGCTGCTGGAAATTTCTATTCTGGGCTTTAGATGAGTATAATGAACTTTTTGTATCAATGAACACTTTGTTACAAGTGTTGGTAGGAGATATTTGACTGTCAACGGGACAACTGAGTAAAAACTGTAATTTTTAGGTGATGAGTTTGGCCTGTTGCCACATTTATGTAGATATTATGATTTTGCTTCTTTAAGCGTGGAAAAAAATTATATATTTCGGGTTTCTTTTAGTTATGGCTTGCATTTCTTCATCTCTGTTAGTGTTGTTTGAACTTGTGGCCAAATTTATTTTGGTTTCCATGTTGCGTATCTTGAAGAGAATCAAGAAGAAAAATGGTATTATCATTCTCTTGTTAGAAAATTCGATTGCACATTGATGATTCCAATCTAGAGTTTTTTACTACTACACCTGGGGTTCATCACGCATTATCTCAGGGATCGAAAAATTTACTAACGGACCTTCCATTTTTGTTTCGGGAAAAGGCTCTAATGAGACCAGCTCCTCGAAGTCCATTCATGAGGTTGGAAGGAGCCGGAAGGTGCAGTGCTCCCACCATACTCAAAATAAAACAAGGATAAAGATTATCTAAGCTGAAAGGTAAATAAGTATGAGAAGTAGGAAAAGGAAGAGATGAAAATTAGAATAGATAGATAAATAATGAAGACTACAAGAAAGTTTTACAACTTTTTGAGCAGTAACGATTGAAGAGAAAGATTAAGCATAAAATAAGTATTGCAAAAAGCACGATATTGAAATCTGTGGTCATCATAGTGATTCATTCTATTTTTAGAAAAATGTTCTAAAACCTGCTATGGAACCATTGAGCCAGGGCCGTAATAGTGACTCTTTGAGAAGATAAATATAAGAAAAAAGATTTGTCTCGATTCTATCTATATCTTTCGACATCTCATCTATATAATATGATAATAGTTGGTGGAGGATCCTTGTGTATAGTGGTATAGATCTTTGTTTATTACTAGGAAGGTGGGCTACTTTCGTCTAATGATCATGGTAAATTCAAAACTTGTATATAATAAGTCAGTATAGTGTTCGATCGAGACTATATCATATTGAAGTGGGAAGACAGGACCGAATCAGATAGACACAAGAAGAATTGGTTTCATCCAACCAGCGTGAAAGTCAATTTCTGGTCAGCTAACTAAGAATTCAATAGAAAATATTGCTTTCCTAATTCTTTCACGATATAACAATTTCTTGTAAGCCAAGAAACAAATAATTCAAGTCGTAAATACGAACTACTCTGCGGAGAATCTCTAACCAATAAGCTACGACTACGAAACGAGTTGGATCTGGTTTAGCGATTGTTTCAATGCTCAAATCAAGGGGATAGTCCACTTATTCGATAGAAGATAAGCCTATATGTGTTAACTCTACTTCACTTCCTTCTTCGTAGACTTATTTTCTGTATATACTTGTATCTTAAATTGAATATCTTCATTTGTTGAAATATACAAAATTATGTTATTTTCCTGAAATGTGCTTGTAACTGACCTCCCATAATACCACTCAATCGAACTGATAGGAAAAGAGAAATCTCTCTCCCCCTTCCTCTTTCCCATTTCTTTTAGAGCCCCCCCCCCCCCCCTTCCTCTTTCCCATTTCTTTTAGATTTTAGATTTTAGATTACTCCTTAAGTTGGTAAATAAATCTTGAGAAATTTCTGTGCTTAAAGTTTTGGGAGAGAAGCTCTGCAGAGAACTGGATATGGTCCCAACCAATGAAGCTAGTACCAGAGGAACTCCATGAAATATGGGAGTTTGTGTTTGGATCATTCACCATACTAAACATTGTAGTCAAGAATGGAGGGGGTGCTCCAAACTCGCGCAGTCCTTTTCCAGTTTTTAGTCTCAGTGGATTCGAGCTTGGAAACTCCATCACCAATATTCATCATTGCAATTTTTCCTCAAGCTTTCAAGCTTGACCAAGAACAAAGTACCTTATTTGTGTATATATGATTATCAAGAGAAATAATGCATGGTGTTAATCCAAACAAGAGTACATATTTGACAAAATCAAGATCCTTTAGTATTTCTTTCTTGATCCTCTAAAAAAATTAGTATCAAATGTATAGTTTGGAATTTAATCTCTAGCTATGTATCGTTTGTTATTTAACATCCCCAAGAATGTGAATGACTTTTGATACGAAAATGCTAAAGTGATTGAAAATGGTTGACAGAAGGCCTAATCGCCTCTCACATATCGTGGATCCTGTTTGAATAAAAAATTATTCATTCCCCCTTTTTTTATGGCGTCACTGTCAGGGAGGTTGTCAGCCTCCCTGTTAGTGTAGCATGATTCCTTTTGATATTGTGAAGAATTATAGAAAACTAACACAGGGTGGGTTTCATGTGAATAAAAAATTGTGAAAACATCCACCCTACTCATCCCCCTTGTGTGTGTTTTGAAGGGGTTTTGTCCTTATATCCCAAAAATGATTGTTTGATCAGCCCTGCTTGACAGCCCCTCCTCCAATAAGGGGGCCAAATAAGCCCCCTAGATGAGTAGATTAATTCTTGTTTGATACATGATCATGTAAATATCCTAAAAGTTTTGTAAATTTAGGCCGATTAATCCATGGGTCGCATCTGATATTCATGGACTTATGTTTATACATGTCTACACTTGTTCAATAAAATTCTCAAATATATAATTTTTAATTTTAATTTCAATACCAAGCCTTTTTTGCTCTTAGTTTTTTAAGGGAGATTATAATTTCTTCCAAACTTACACTAAAATCCATTAATTCACTTCATTATAATTTTACACTCCGTTTGATTTCCATTTATATTAAAATACATTTTTCTCTCTCTGTTCTTTTTAATCACTAATTAAAATAATATTATACGTAAATCAAAAAAATTTCCTTATTTTTCATCCACACATTCTCCATCAATTTACTATTCTAATATTCATTTTCTCTTAAAAATGGGTACAAACACCTATTTAATATAATTTCTCCCAAGCAAGTACCTGAAAGAGTTGTGAACAATCAAACTCGTGTTTAACGTTAATAGAGGAGTGAGATTTATTTTAAGTTTGATTTTCTAACACCTTGTATAATCTACTATCAGAATTATATATTTATTTTTCATCATTGAATCGAATTGCATGATAATTATGTCATCAATTATTCAACTTGCTGAATAATGAAGAAATCTAAAGTAACTTTTGCATGTCAAATCCCTTTCATTCAAACTTTCATAACCTTTTAGGTGCACAGTAATAAGTATCACATTTTTGCAGGACCAATTATCTCTTGAGTCCACAAGTGATGAACAAAATGCTTCCTTTCGCAAAAAGTTGTTCATGTATCACATTATTCTTTGATTTCGCATAACTAGATAAATTTGAGCATGTTTGATATGCAATACTGAATATAATTAATTCTGTCGAGTTTTGTCCCGTTGCATATTAGAGGGATAATGAAAGGAAAAAAAAAAAGAAAAAAAATCTCAAAAATCGAGGACAAATCAGTCATTCCAAGACTTCATCATGAGTAATATTTGGATTAAGAGAGTAATTGCACTTTGTCATTGATTATTTGATTTGATACAATGGTAAACCCTCTATCTACTAAAACCCATAACCCCAAAACGTTTCCACTTTTAGTTAATTACAAAGGTTAACTGTATCTAAGCTTCATCGGAATAAACGCCGGAAAAGCCCACGTCATCTCGACGGAAAAAGATCAATCTCAATCAAATTCTCTTCATCGACTTCACTATTATTATTCTTCCCGTTCAGTTCAATTTCTATCAACCCTTCTTTATCATCTTCTTCCCACCGGAAGCATAAGTTCTCAGATGACTCCCGGTCTTCGATCGTCAGGAAATCTCCCTCCGACGAAGTGTCTGTGTCTGATTCCCGGTAATATAGTAACAAAGATGCGTGTTTTTCAATTACAGCCATTTGTGCCTCTCTCTTTTCCTCCCAAAACCCCTCGTTTCCTTCTTCTTCACCTTCGTATTCTTCATGTATAACCTCCAATGGTGCCCTCACGTCCCATTCCACAAAACACTCAGCCAAAACACTAGGACCCAGATTCAAATTCTGCTTCGGATCGCTGCGGGATTCACATGAAACCCGGTTGAGATCATGAAGAGAAAATTCTTCATTCTGCGGTAATAATTTCTCAGTGGAATCAAATTCCGGGGAATGGGATCCAGTTTCCTTCTGGGTTTTTTGACTTGCACCGAGACGGAGAAGATAGAGTAAGATAATTAAGGTGAAAATTAGGACGGGGGAGAAAATGAGTCTATGAAAAAAAGCTAGGAAGTACAGTAGAATCAGATGTAGAAAGTGAAGATGGTGGAGAATAGAGTGTTTGAGCTAAGAAAGGAGAGTGTTTCTTGAAGAAAGGTAAAGAAATTGGATTCTCTTTGTTTTTGCTTCTCCTCCATTGATGAATTTCTGAAGGTGAAAAGGCACTCAATTGTGGGAGATATTTATGAGCAGGAAATTCATCGAAGCCAGGTTGGGATTAAATTGAAATTACATAATTCCATTATCCCATGCACTAACACAACGCCACCGTGCGTGTATCGGTGTATGAGAAAATAAATTTTTCAAGAAGAGACTACTTTAATAAGTTTTAGGCTAGATTTTGTTGGTGTGTGCGTGGGGATGATGAAGGCATCAAGAAAAGCAAGTCTCCCTACCGTAAAATTTATAAATTCATGTATAATATAGGCCATTGTTTCGCATCCATTTTAATGAGGTTTCAGGGAAAATATATTTTGAACTAGCAACTTTTTGAAGAATATGTGGTTGAAAAAAAGAAGAAATTTTTTTATATTTATGTATAATATTATTTTATTAAAGAATGTATAATTAAAAAGAAGAAATAAAAAATACATTAAAATTAAAATGAAGTCCAAACAGGGCTATTATTATGATTTAAAGTAATAAGGATTGTCAAGGACGCTTATTGTCTTTATGAAACGTAAGCTTTATAATCTAATAACTAGAATTGATAATCATTATTTGCCTTCCGTTGCATAAGAGTCAAATGGTTTCCTCTCATAAAAGGAAGTGTGGGAAAATTTTCAAGTTTCCACCTTTTAGTCATACATTCCAATTTAATCTGATAATTGCAACATGTGCCATTAATTAACTAATTTAGGTACCCACATGTACAAAATTCACACTTCCTCAAACGAAAAATAAAAAAACTTGTAACAAAACCAAGTTTCACCATTCACTAAGCAC